TAATTACCAAAAACCATATTTATAAAATGAGATTCATTTATAGCCCGACACGAGTCTCAAAGAATGGATTTAGTATGGTGGATTCTCCTGAGAAATTAGTTTTATTGTCTGAACAAGAGGATAGATTAATTTTATAATGCGGTAAGTGTGATGTAAGTAAAATACTCACCAATTTATTCAAAGTAAAAAAAGAAGAAAGGATCAGAACTTAATTGTGTTTAATAATTTGATTATTAGCGATACCGTAGAAATAACCGCGCCTCACATGATTATCCTTTAGAGTGTTTAATCAAATGACCTGCAAATTTTAATTGATCATCCGGTAATTTTTTAAATTGTTTCAATTAATTCTTGGCGATATGTAAGTTTGGATACCTTCCTATCGTTAGTTGGTTGAAGAATATTTTGATAGATCAATAGCATTTCATCATCATTCATCTGTGCAAGTTCTTAGTTAATTTAAGAATTAGTATTTTTTTTTTTTCTGTTGGGTGGATCTTCGCATATTTACAGAAATTTGGCTTGCTCTGCGCGATTGAATTTTTCGTTTGGAAACCTTCAGCATTCTGTCTATAATAATGTTATATGCTAATTAGTACACTTTAAAATGATTCACACTGCATTAATGAAACGTCAATTTACCTTCAAAGTGTAAGAACAAAGTTACGTTTAAAAAAAAAAATTTCAAGATTTGACTTCAAGAATCTAAAATTTTTTGTAAATATTGTTTTTTAAGGAGTGTTCAACCCATTCTTAAAATATGAATGTAGTTACTTTGCAACGGTTCTTAAGAATAGTTCCCAACCAAAAAAAAAAAGAAGAAAATTAAGCTCAATTTTGGTGGGAATCTTGAGTTTATTTTAATAGTAAACGATTATAAAAAGGATTAGAGATTAAGCTTTGTGTAACAAAATTTTGACTTTGCAATCGATTGATTATAAGTACGATTTTGATAATTAGTGCGATATTCGAATTTTTTTATCCAAATTTCTCTTTCGACGTCGAGACGCGTGACCAGTACGTACAAAGAATCGTACCGGTACGGTAATGGTACGAATTTTACGAAATAAGTCTGTACTGTCGTATTCTATAATATTAGATCAACGTGATATTAACATGAATTAAAATAATAAAAGGATTAGCAATTTGGTTAAATATATGCGCCAGGTTAAAGATTTAAATGCAAATTTTGACTTGGTCAAGCATTTTTTTTTATTCTTGACGATTTTTGAAATTAATATTAAAAATCAAAAAAATTTCACTTAAACAATCATAAAGTAAAAAAATATTTTTTTAATGCTAAGTAAATTAAACTTTGAGCGTTAAGTTAAATTTATACTAATTGAGCATGTGATGTTTATCAATTTAAAAAATTTTGAAGATCCGACTCTTGGAACCGGTCCGGAGTCGGTTCCGGTTTTTAGAATTGGTTAAAAATGGTTTGCAACACATGCAATCCCAGAATATGTTGTATTTATAATCGATCCCTATATATGGAAGATTGCTAGAAAAATCAGGCTCTGGGAATTTTTAAATAAAATTTTGTTTTTTATTGCATTATAGTTTTTGATGTTATTATATTAAAATGTCATAAGGACTTAATTTTAGTCAAAAAAATTCCCAGAGCCTGATTTTCCTAGGTATAATTGCCGATATCCACAGTACGTGACCACCGTAATTTACTTTTCATTCTCTAGAACCATTGGTTGCGAATTAATTTTTCGAAAAAAATGCACTAATTGACTGTTCAATCGTTTAGGTGACAATTAATTTTCATATATAGAGAAATTTCCTTTAATTTTTGTTAAAAAGATTTATTAACGCATCTATAAAGGAATAATATAATAATAAAATAAAAAAAATAATAATAATTATAATAAGTTATCACGATATTTGCGAAGTTTTTTTTTGTCTATTTTATCAATTAAATGAGTAATCAAAAGACTTAAATTCGTTGGAATTCCTCATCCCCTTGTATTTTTTTTAAGTATCGATACATACATAGCAAAATAATTTAACCTTGGTCAATACAAAATAAAACAACATTGTAAAAATCAGTGGTAAAGACGCTATTCATTCATTTTAAAATAGATTAATCGATCTAAGTCCGATTATCTAAAAATCTCAACAAAAAGCGCCACAAAATCTACACGGAACTGATATGCAATTCATGCATACGATTTACATTATTTTGGACTTATGTAACCTCGGTTCGGAGAAATATTTCCGAAATTTCAGTTAATGCATCCGATTTTAGATATAAAGAGTTCGACAAATATTATTCCTTGATTTTTCCGTAAACCAGAGTGAGAAATCACCTTATATAATAAAACATATTTTTTACATTTAAAATACAAGCATGACAAAATCTGAAACAAAACATGACGAATGCCTACACATATCAGAAACGTTTAATTCAACAGATAATATGAACATTTTCGTTGATAAATTATTTATACTATTGGTTAAAATACAAAATGAAGGTAAAAATTTCAGTGAAACGAAACATTTTCTTAATAAATGCATTACTCTTTCTACTAAATCAGCTGAAGATATTTTTAACTGGCTTAAAGAAAATCAAAATGAATCAAAAAATGTTTTCTTTCTTGGAATTTTTTCTTATTACAATATGCTCAACTTAGATGAAAATAATAGTGAAGGATTCATATACTTTCTAAAAGCATCTGAAAGATATCCTATTGCACAAGTATACTTAAGTAGATGTTATATTGAAGGATTTGGTATTGAAATCAATAAAGATTTAGCATTTTGTTGGATGCAAAAAGCTGCAGAAAATGAAAATGTTTGTGCAATGAATAATTTAGCTATTTGTTATGAAAATGGTAAAGGAATTGATATTGATTTAAAAAAGGCATTTTATTGGTATCAAAAAGCTGCAGAAAATGAAAATATTAGTGCAATGAATAATTTAGCTTTATGCTATGAAAATGGTAAAGGTACTAATATTGATGTAGAAAAGGCATTTTATTGGTATCTAAAAGCTGCAAAAATTGAAGATGTTAATGCAATGTTTAATTTAGCTTTATGCTATAAAAATGGTGAAGACACTAATATTGATTTAGAAAAGTTATTTTATTGGTATCAAAAAGCTGCAGAAAATAAAAATGTTAATGCAATGAATAATTTAGCTTTTTGCTATGAAAATGGGAAAGGCACTAATATTGATTTAGAAAAGGCATTTTATTGGTATCAAAAAGCTGCAGAAAATGAAAATATTGATGCAATGAATAATTTAGCTTTTTGCTATGAAAATGGTAAGGGAATTGATATTGATTTAGAAAAAGCATTTTATTGGTATGTAAAAGCTGCAGAAAATAATAATAAAGATGCACAATATATTTTAGGCAATTATTATTATTATGGAATATTTGTTATAAAAGATATTAATAAAGCTTTTGATTAGTATAAAAAATCAGCTAAGCAAAATTATAGTTATGCACAAAATGATTTAGGATATTTTTATGAAAAAGGTATTAATGTAGAAAAAAATTTAGAAAAAGCATTTTTTTGGTATCAAAAATTAGCAAATAATGAAAATTATATTGCTCAATGCAATTTAGCTATTTGTTATCAATATGGTTTAGGTATTGAAAAAAATATGAATAAAGCATTTAAATGGTATAAAAAATCAGCAGAAAATGAAAATAAATTTGCACAATATAATTTAGGATTTTATTATGAAGAAGGTATTTTTATTGAAAAAGATTTTAAAAAAGCATTTTATTGGTATCAAAAATCAGCAGAAAATGAAAATGAAATTGCTCAATTTAAATTAGGATATTTTTATGAAAAAGGTATTGGAATTAAAGAAAATTTAAAAATGGCATTTTATTGGTATCAAAAATCAGCAGAAAATAAAAATAAAGATGCTCAGTTTAATATAATTAAATGTTATATAAATGGAATAGGAATTAATAAAGATTTAAAAAAAGCATATAAATGGCATCAAAGATTAGTAAAAAATGAAAATATATCTAAAAGAAGTTTTGGAAAATATGAAACTAATATTCAAAATATTAATCAAAATAATACAATTGAATTTATTAATAAAACCTTAAATAATCAAGTTAAATTTATATCATTTAATGAATTTACTGATTTAGAGCAACTTGATAAAGGGGGTTTTGGAAGTATTATAAAAGCAACTTGGTTGAAAACTGGTAATTTTATTGTAATTAAAAGGTTAATAAATACAAATATTATCAAACAAGATGCTTTTATTTATGAATTAAAAATTCATTTAAATCTTAATTATTGTAATCAAATTATACATTGTTTAGGTATTAGTCAAGGTAATTAATAAATTATACATATATTTTATTTTTAAAAAATAATTGCTTATTAATTTACTAATTGTAGATCCAAATACAAAAGAGTATCTTCTTTTAATGCAATATGCTAATGGTAGTAATCTTCAAAATTATCTTAAAAATAATTTTAATAATTTAACTTGGTATGATAAAAAAACTTTAGCAATTCAAATTGCAAATGGATTAAATTATTTGCATAATGAAGAAGTATTGCATAGAGATCTTGTAAGTTTTTTATTATATTCATCTATTTTAAATTAATTTCAAAAATTTATTATAATATTATTTAATCTAATTTAGCATTCCAAGAATATACTAATTCATAATAATAATGCTAAAATTACGGATTTTGGTATTTCAAAATTTGGAAATAATTCTACTACACATATTGGACCTTGTGGTAAAACTGCTTATATAGAGCCACAAATCCTTTGCAATCATAATTTTCAGTATATTAAACCTTCAGATATTTATAGTTATGGTGTATTAATGTGGGAAATTTCTAGTGGATATCCTCCATTTAAAGATCATAATGATGCAACTATCTGTGCTATTATTAGTAATAAAGCTCGTGAAAACACTATACCAGATACTCCTAAGGATTATGAAATACTTTATAAAAAATGTTGGGATCAAGAACCCGAGCAAAGGCCAACTATTACAGAAATAATGGAAGATTTCTCGAAGACAAGTTTTATAAATATACCGATTAAAGGTATGTTTAAAAGCATTAAGAAATAAACATTTTTATAAGTTTATGATTTATACTAATTTATTTAAATTTAATTAAAATGAAGATAACAGAAATTTGTTTGAATTGATCAATAACAAGTTAAATAATAAAATTAAAGTCATACATTTTGACGAGTTAATTGATTTAAAACCACTTGATGAAGGCGGTTTGGAATTATCATGAAAGCTACTTGGTCAAAAACAAATAATTATACTGTTTGTAAAAAATTAACTAAAACAAGTAT